GTTATTTTGTATATCACTAAAATGATCTGTGATGATCTGTCTGACGTATAAGAAAGCCGTTTTACTATTTTGAAAGCTTTTCATTAGTCACCAAACCTTCAGATTAGATTTGCATATTTAATATTATTTTTTTTGTTGAGCAAAATTTTCCAAGAGTAGATACATTATAAATTCAGATATATTAATAGATATATTAGAGACACGTAGATTTTATAATATAAATCCATGTGTCTTTAATTATTCTAATATTCTATGATGAAATCACAAGCATAAATTGAGAGCACTTCGACAGAGTTTTAATTTGAAAATTCCGATTGTGATTATTATCCTTATATCATCAATATCACATACATACACATTCCAGAAAAACAGAAAGAAAAGTGGCCGTTGTTATTGTTCGACTATCAAACAAAGAGTATGCGAGCGAGCTCGTGTGATTTTATGTTAGATGTCGGACTCTCCCGTTTCAGCCGTGCCTGGTTTTGATGAGATACATTGTTCGATATGGTACCAACGTGGCAGTAATTTCAAGAGTATACGGTTTACGGAAGTTAATCGAGATCTTCGTTTACCATTGAAAATAAGGAGACTCATCCAGAGCCGCAGAGAAAGAGAAGGAAAGAGGGAGAAGGAAAGGGACGAAATGGACAAAGATTCTTAATTTCCGGTGCTTTGTTCTTGTGACCATGGTGGTCCGTTTCATTTCCGTTTTGTTATGCCGAGGTAAACGAAGTCAGAAAAAAGGAGATATCAAACATTACGAAGAGCGGCCGCTGCGAGTTACGATTAAAATGCAGAACGTTCGCGTGCATACCTATGATTGTTAAGTATTTATCGTACGCATTCAATCGCAAATAATTGCAACACGTGCGTACTTCTAATTTTAAATTTCATTTGTTTATATATTTTTGATATATTCTCGTTAAATAGTGTAATTTTAATTGATTCCGTCCTTGCTTCAAAGACTGTAAAAAACGATTTTACATTTTACAAGCAAAACAGGCTTTTGCAACGATGTTTTCCAAACGGATTTAAGCTAAAATGTTTTTCAACTGCTTATAAACAGTTAATAACAAGTATAATTAATTTATCAAAATTTTCATATAATTTCTTCGTATCAAACGCACTAAAAATTATGTTTATAAGTGGTAGATGTAATTCTCGTTACAAGTCAATATTATCTCTATCACAAAATAAATATCTTTATTAAACATCACATTGAGTGAACTAAAATGATTATCTACAAATATTATATGTACATAGAAGACGTAATTCTATAATGTTAAGTAATAGATTTGAACAAATCTGTTATTGTTACATAAATACAAATAGTAAAAAAATGACATACGTGGAAATACATTATATTAACAATCTTACAGTTAGAATTTTTCTTTTATTTTAAAGTCCGATCGATTACTTTCAAATTTTGATACTTTATTTTTTTATTTCCTTCCTTAATGAGGATACCTGATGGACTCACGCGACATTCGATGTACGACGATATGATATCCAATAAGATAATTTGATTTTAGTAAGCAACATTTTTGTCTTCAAGAAACAAATTCTATTGGATGTCGAACGTCGTACGTTGCGCCGTATGAATCTCTACACAGCAGGAGTTTTATATGGCGCAACAGTATAGACAGTATAGGCACTTGTGACCGCGTTCGAGTTACAGTCATCAGTCGAGAGCCGGAGTTGGGTCTGATCAGATCCACAGTATTCTGACAAGGTTTTTTGAACGGAAAAGTAGAAACACTTTCACCACAAGATGCTGAGGGAAACGATTCTCGTTTTCGCTGCGCTCATTGTGCTTGCCAGTACCACGCAAGTTAATAATTGTGAATCTGGTAAGTTAATTAATAAATAAAAATATATAAATATTATTAAAAAATGCGTTAACCCATAAAAATACATTAATCTATTAAAAGACAGCTTTTAGTTTTTAATAAATTACATTTAAAATGCAAACTGTTTTTGCAACATAACAATTCATTGCTTTTCCTATAATTTTGTAAGTTGACTTATTTATTCACGTAGCACCGTTACGTAAATATACAAACGAGTTGACAAACGAAAATTTGATGTATTATAACTAAATGATCAACAACAATATTGTCATTAAAACATGCGCAAGACAGAATTTTCAGATAAAGCGTTATATAAAATGTTTACAGAAATAATTATCAAATTTGCTTTTAATCTATTGTGAGAGCTACTGTCTTTTGATGTTACTGAAAAAGTTAAAGTCTAAAATATTTATTTTAAAATTAAAACTATTTCTCTTTACGTGAGAGGAGATTTGTCGATATTATTAAGGTTGTTTATATATTTTTGATATATTCTCGTTAAATAGTGTAATGTTAATTGATTCCGTCCTTGCTTCAAAGACTGTAAAAAACGATTTTACATTTTACAAGCAAAACAGGCTTTTGCAACGATGTTTTCCAAACAACCTTTTATGAAACTTTCTCAACGTTACATTGTGTACAAATTTTATTATATAGAATATTATAAAACATCTGGTCAAAAAGTTTATCGATTTATTTTTCTATTCGCATTCTTAAAAATGTTATATAACTCTATAAGTATGTGAACATTTTTATTTCAAGTTTTCAAGAAGAACAAATAATTATTTATTTTTAAAACTCCATCGAAAATTAAATATTATCTTTAAGATCATTAATATGTTTGATGAACATTCTTACGAAAATCAACAAACATAGAGATAAAAGTAGAAAAAAATAAAAGAATTTGATCATAATTCGTTGTCAAGGCAAATCGAAACATATATCTAAGGATAATATATCTTATCAATAAACACGTACCACATACATACTGTATAATCCAAACTAATTTACACATCTTGTTATTACTCGATATTTAAATATATTTTTAGGTTTCGTTACTGATTCATATCTGAGTAATATAAAAATATTTATATACCTTTATTTATTTAAATGTTGAAATGTTTTTTCAATGCTTAACTGTCAACAAATATGTAACTTGTGATAAAATAAATTTTACGTATGCTTGTATAATTTTTCCATAAAATATATTGGCAAAATTTTATACTTCATATACTTTAGAATATTCTGACGTAAATGAGGGACTTGCAATATATTTTCGATATTTAAAATTTTTCTTGTGACATATTGTATTGTACTATATAATATTTTGGACATATTAATTTTGTCTTATTACTTTTTCAAAGATCATACAAATATTTCTCAACAGAAATGTATTATTCATAATCTTCTGGCAAATTGTTGAAGGAGACTGTCCTTAAATAGTCAGGCAGATTATTTTTAAAATTATCACATGACTGAAACATAAAAAATTATCTATATTGAAGATTGTTTCTCATGCTCGTAACAGAAACTATTAGTATTCTCATAATTTTATCATCAAATAATAATGCGCTTAATAACTTTCAATTATTAGAGATGTGAACGAGACAACACAAATTAGTTTTATTATTAATATCTATATAATTGCTTACAAGAAATATAATTGATACACAGTGAAAGTGATGAGCGAAATACTAACTTATATACGTTAATTTACAATCGACTTGTTTCACCGTTAGAATTTCAATGCTAATTTAGAAATTTTGCGTCGATGAAAGTAAAAAATAAATATTGTATAAGTACATAAACAAAGTCTCTTCTTTATATGTTCGAAGCACAACAAGCAAAATCAAAAAGAAAAAATACATTATACAGATCGATCGTTAAAATTGCAGTTAAAAACAGTTAAAATTGTAGTTTCTTTCAGAATAAGCTAGAATAAAGATATTATGTTATTGACACTAAATGCGACAATTATGCATACTGATAACACGTTTATTTCGCATTTTCAATGCGAACGTACATTTACACTAGTAAAATATATTTTTATTGAATCGTGTTTTTAGCTGAAATATTTCTTTTTGTTCAATTTACTGTGTGCTTAAATGAATTATTGCAATAAATAAGTGTACATGATTTAAAAAATTACATTCACAGAAGGATCATTTTTACAAAGAATGCATAAGAAAAATTAAAATCACATAGTCATGTTTGCATAAGTACAATTTACATTTGTCTTATTGTCTAAGATTTCTTGCTGACTGGTTGTCTAGCCATTTCAGCAATAACCTTCAGGATCATTACGGATCAATCATAATCATGAAAAGCAAACGTGTCATCATTTTCAATCTGAATAAACTTATTTTTTTTTCTTACAACATTGAGGAAAACCTATTATTAATGTCGATTTATTGATTAATTTTCTGTTTTTTAATGAGATGACATTGATCTAGTAGTCTAATAAAAATTACTATTACTACCAATGTCTGATAAATTTAAAAAAATTTTTAATAATTAATCAGTTATTACTTTTATTAGCGCAAGTAAACATCGTACAATAACTATGCAATACATTCGTTTTCATATATTCTACTTATACTTCCTCTTACTATACATTCTCAGACACTGTAATGGGAATCTCGCTGAAGATCAAATATTTCAAGGCAATCAACTTTATGAAAACTGCATAAGTTTTTTTGTACTCATTCGTCCTCTGTTTTTACTCTAATGTATATGTATGCATATTCTTTGAACAAAGAGCGTGCGAAATATTACTTTAATGTCAAATTAAATTGCCTTTTATGAATAAAGTAATCACGTGATTTGATTAATGTGTGTATGATTTATGTAATCAAATAATTCGAAATCGAGCTGTGTGAAGACACAACAGACACAAATTATACCCACACTATTCAAATTATGATTTATGATTTATAATTTTAGGTCTCCCGTTCGAAGATGCCGATCAAATCAGTATATCCGACTGCGACAAACCTGAATGTCCATTAAAACAAGGATCGACTATTAAGATAGAAATGAAACTTGTGCCTAACAAAGATATTCAGAGTTTAAAAAATAACGTGCAGGGAATTATTACCGGCATACCCATACCGTTCGTAGGAGTTGATGGAACAAATGCCTGTGATAATATTTACAACGCTGATGGTAGCAAAGCCGGTTGTCCCTTAAAGAAAGGCGAACAATATATATACAAAAACAGTTTCCCTATTTTATCAATATATCCCAGGGTAATTTTACAAATTTTAAAATTTAAAGAAGACTCATAATTGCGCATATTTATCAATTAAATATATGTGTATAATAAATATATATAAATTACAACGTTAATTTAAGATTAAATTGGAATTTAATCAATTAGAAAAAACCAACATTGAGTTAAGTAACTTTGTTGTAATTGATCAAATTCTAATCCAATCTCAATCTCTAGTCTGATATCGGTTTAGAATATAGAATATAATTTAACAATAATAATACATCTCTTCCTTTTAATTATGAGCAATTTGTTTCTTTCGTAACTTGATTTCAACCTGTTGCCATAAATGTTTGTTATAACTTTGCTTACAGATTCCAGTAATCGTATATTACGCATTGAAAGAAGGAAATGACAGAGTTGCGTGCTTCGAAGTACCAGCAAAAATTACGAAATAAAGTACTTCGTTTTGTTGATTTCGGCATATTACAATTAAAAATCGTAGTGCTCGTAGCCAATGTAACTCTGAGCTTATGTAATTTAATTGGCTGATATTGTGTAGGATATGCAAATAATCCTTCCGATATGAAATATTGTGATGTATAAATACATTTTTTTAACATTTTAATAAAATAATTTTCTAATTTTAATCAAAATATTGTTTCACTTATTTTATCTATTTTCTCACATTAAATTTTAATAATATTTTTGTTAGAGATAAAATTACTAGAAAAAAAATTGCATAAATTGATGCAGACACTTTTATAGACAAATTATCAATGAGAAAATTTATTAAAGTTTTTAGCAGCATTAAATTTTTAAATACCTTTATAATTGACAATTGTTAAATATTCAAAGTCTTTTATGAACGAGCGACTGATCACGATGACTATATATATGAGTAATTTTCACTAATAATTAAATAATAATAAGTATAATAATAATAAGTATTATAATATTTTAAATATTGTACTTTTATAGTAAACGACCAAATAATGAATATTTTAGCTAAGAGTAGTTAAAGAACTTTGATTTGGCCGATCATCGATAACATCGCAATAACAAGCATACTTCACATAAGCATACGAATATAAGTTATTTGATTTTGACAATCTTTATATGCTTGTAATCGTTCGAAGTCTTTTTGTATATCTATTTCATGTCTTCTACGTCCAAAGTGCAATCTGTTCTATTTACAATCATTGCCAAATATGTAAATGTCATCGTTCTACATTAAACTGCAATGGTTTTTTTTACAATCTCATTATTAAAAATAAATATTTTTGAATCGCAATTTATAATTTATTTTCTTAATTAGGCAGTTTATATATTATATAATTAATTTGCTTAACAATATGTAAAAAACAAATCATTATATCTTTTGTTAAGCTACAATTATCTTTAATTTAAATTTGATACATGTAGCCATATCTTGTATCTTTTGCAACATTTTTTACAATGCGCCTATTAAGTAATTATTTTACGATTCTTGTAGTTATTAATATAGTGTATCATATGCGCACTAAATTTGCATATTGTATATTACGTATAACATACAATATGTGCATTCAATTCGTATATCGTACGATTAAACTTGAGTTGATGCATGCCCATTATTGCGATTTTACCGTTGGTCGATCGAAAAGTATTCACAGGCGTATAATCAAACCCCATAGGTAGCAGTCGAGGCGAGAAAATTTACACATATGAATATTAAAAAATGTCGAAAAATGAAAAAAAAAGGCAGCTTGCAAATGAAGCATATAACTCGACAGAGAGTGATTCCCTGGAATATGTGTATATACAGCCTTTGTGAAAATCCTACTGAAATGACAAAGAAAAAATTCGACGCGCCTTCTCTGTAAAGCAGTCAAGTTTACAAGAATAAATGAGATTTATGAGATACTGCAAAGAAATTAATGAGCAAGCTTCAAAAGGAAATAATATACGCGATTGGAACTGCATATACTTTGTAAATGAACATGCAGATTTATATACCTTTTCTCATTTTTATGAAGGAGGAAAATGAAGATTCTGTACTTTTTCTTTAGCAATCTAATAAAAAGATAAAGATATATCAAGAACAAATTACCATCTATTATGCAGTTACGTTATTCTTACGGTTTATTGTTCGTAACAATAATGTTTTTTATATATTTTCGACACTAAATTTATAACATACGTTTAACTTTACGTTAAACTACTATTCAATAATTCGTAGCTTCGTGCCGATGCTAGACTGTCGCATTTCGATTAGTGGGAATGTCGGGCAATAATTACAGTATAAAATGAATCTCTTTAATTATGATGTTGGATTATTCGCAAAATTCGCGAAATTAATTTGTTTATCACATTTCGGCATATTGTTAATGATTATGCACTACATGGTTGCTTTAATTTAAACAATGCTGATATTAAGAAATAATAACATAAGCGAAAGTTTGAAATTGATACATTGTATACGGACAAAAAAATTTTGCTAAAGGATCTATCAAAAATTTTATTGAATCATCAAAATAATTATGTAGAAAAGTATGATAAGCAATGCTGCAAAAGTTATGATATTCTAGCAGTCAGCTTGAACATTATGCATAATTATTTTAATAGTCCAACAAAAGTATATTTAGAACTAGGTATATCTAACTAGTTTTAGATACTTAAAGTATGATGAGCAATGCTGCAAAAAGTTATGATATTCTAATAAGCAGCTTGAGCATTCTACATAATTACTTTGATAGCCCAACAGAATAATTTTCAGATCTGTATCTAAAGTTTTACATACTTCAGCAAAATCATTCATTCTGTTTATATAATTATTGATATAATAACAACGATTAACGATTAGTCGAATTTATTTTGGTACTTGTTTTAAAAATTTTAAAGAGTGGATGTAATTTAAAAATGATAGATATATGAAAAAGGGATGATTTGATAGGCAATGCGAGCCAATTGGCATTCAGCCATTTCTCTTTCAGCCATTTCACATTTTACTTTTAGCTTTTTATGATTATTATGATTTAGTAAAAACATTAATAAAATGAGTATAAAAAGGAGCAGTTTCCTGATTCGAACAATAAATATGTACATATATAATTCAATCGTATAGACAACTGCTGTATGTAATATACTTACAATACCGACTTTACATTCTTGCGATTATTTGTACATGGAAGGTACGATTTTGGCAAAGTATTAAAAAATTTAATTAAACATACAGCAGAAATGTTCGAAATCAGAGAAATATTCTAAAGATATTACATATTCCAAATATATCTTTAAGATATTTCCATGAAGTATTTTGGGCACATCTGCTATGTCGGTCTTGAAATAATTTTGTTAAATGACCAAAATAATTATGTAGGAAACTGCAGAAGAGTGGCAATGCTGCAAAAATATTCAAGCAATTAGTTTGAGCATTCTGTATAATTATTTTAATAGTCCAACATTACTATTTTTTTAGATCTCTAGCTAAATTTATAAATACTTCAGTAAAATTATTTTTTTCTGTATGATCTTTATTATCGTTCTAAGAAAATCATCTACGTTAAGTGCTGAGTAAAGTTCACGAAACATATATCCCCTCGAGGTATTCTTAAGATGTCTGCAAGTGCATTCACGGACGTAATCGTCCATTAACGATTTGGGATTTCTGTTAATAAGTCATTATTACGTTCAAAAAGTCATTAAAATTCAAATTTATTCATTTCTTGATCACAGTAACGATAGATGTTTAAATACAAGTCATATATTTAAAATTCTCATATAAAAATGTAGACGTTTTGATCAAGATTTGACCATCATCAATACAACAAGATAACAAAAAGAAAATAAAAAATAACAAAAAATTAATTAATTAAGCAATAAGCGCTAGTACACTTCGAACACTTGAAATACTGGTAAAAATTATTTCTGACAATTATTTTATCTTATATTATAGATAATTGTCGGAAATAATTTTTACCAGTGTTCCAAGTGTTCGGTTTTTAAGTTTTATTACTTACTCCGAGTCATATTTGCGAGGATTTCTGTCATAAGATACGTGAATCTGGAAATTCCGTATTTTTTCACACACAAAATCGCTCAACCCTTCTTATGAAAAAAGGAATCATAAACGTAACAAAGAATTCATCAGAAGCGTTTAAATATTTGTTAATGTCAATTTCTCTGGACTTCAACTTATTTTGTAAACTCGTACCATAAGCGATTGGAAAATTATTTCACCATCTATTTGACTTGCGATCATTGCTTTCAATTTTATGTAATTTCTTTTTTATTGTCATCTTGATAGTATTGTACCACCTTTCGGACTAGCAATTATTGTTTAATTAATTAATTTTTTGTAATCTTTTTTGGTTATCTTATTGTACTGATTGTACTGATTCGATCAAATCTTGACCGAAACGTCTACATTTTTATATGAGAATTTTAAATATATGACTTGCGTTTAAACATCTATCGTTGTGGCTGCATCGCTATTATTTATATTTAATATAATTTTACATATAATTATGTATAATTTTATATAATTATATATAAAATATCTTTTCCCGGGATGAGATATTATTTATGAAATCTTTATAAAATATCGTTCAGTTGGAAAACTCATTTTCCGTATTACGTAAAATATGTATTGACATATATTAGAAGAAAAGAATAGTTTCACAAAAAATTTATTAGTAAAGCGATGTTTGACGGTAATATCTCAAAAAGTTTTCATTGCTCAATCGCTGGTGGAGTGACGATAGATTTGTATCGTCGAAGCGTTAATTATATATCGCACGTGTATAATTGCACTTCGTATACACCGAATAAAATATTAAATTGATTGGCGACAATTAAATGACCTATATTAAATACAATATTACATATTAATAAATAATTAATCTTGTATTAATATGTGACGATATTTCAACGTGTAGGGCGATTATTTCTGTTCATATAGTATATAATGTTTCAAATTTTTGATAAACTAGCTTTCTATCATATCAACTAATTAATCTCAAAATTTTTCAAATCGCGTTAATAAGAATTCTAATTTTTTAAAATTCAAGAATATATGTAAAATGAGCTTTAATCGTAATTTGTTTTATATCAAATATCTGATATGCATGTCTATTACGCCACTGCAGCATAAACATAAATTTTTTGTTGCTTACATGTTGCTTTATTCATAATTTTATTGCTTTAACTAGTTTGATAAAAATACCTATGATAATTTGAGTTTATAGTCAGCACATATTAGTAGTAGAAAACATTCAAAATCTAAAAACAAAATATATTATATATAAATTAAGAGAAGATAATTTGCTAAATCTGAAGCGCATAATATCTTTTGTGTGCATGATGTGCATGACTACGGTTATTATTTCTCCAGTATTTACAGTGTTTTCACGGAGACTCTGACTTTAAACTATGGCTATCAGGCACGCGGAAAATGCTCATAATTTTGATGATCTTTTTCTAAATGCGCACATCAATTTTCTTCTAGTTTTTAGAAAAATGTTTTTGACAGGAAGGTCAAATCTGATAACTTTTTTCTTTTTTTAAGCATTACGAAAAGGTTTCAGTTTTTATCGATCTTCGACAGGATAGCTGAATTTTCGA